CTAGTGGGGACGCTGTCTGCTCTGTGGTACAGAGTCCTGATGACTCCTAACTTGTGCTCCAAAGGGTGATGGGAGTCAAACTGCAAATACTGGTCTGTGTGGGTGGGTTTGCGGTACACCTCAGTTTGCAAATGTCCTCTATCAGAGACTGAGACCTCACAGTCCAAGAAAGCCAACTTGCCATTTTTTTCATCTTCTCGTGTGAACTTGATGTATTTATCCACAGAGTTAATGTGGTCAGTAAAATGTTGGAATTCCTGAGATTTAATTTCAACCCAGGTGTCGTCAACATACCTGAACCAATGACTTGGTGGTGTCCCTGAAAAGGACGTCAAGGCTCTCTTTTCTACCTCCTCCATGTACAGGTTGGCAACAATAGGAGAAACTGGAGACCCCATAGCACACCCATGTTTCTGCCTATAATATATGCCTATTCTAATTCTAATTCTAATTCTAATATTCTGCCTATAATAAGAACTTTGCGGTTGCACCAAGTAGAATTCCTCTGGTGGAGATGATCACAGCCACTGAGTCAGCCATCCGCAACAACAAAATTAAAGAGGCTGAAGCAGAACAGCTCAGGATCAAAGTTTCAGCCTGCCTCAGCAATGCCAAACCACCACCTTCCAACATCAGTAGAGAGGAGAGGGACGCACTCACCACTCTTAACAAGGACAAAAACATCATCATTCTCCCAGCAGACAAAGGAAGGTGCACAGTGATTTTGAACCAGAAAGACTATCATGAGAAAGTTATGACACTCCTTAGTGACGTAAACACTTATGAACCTCTGAAAAGAGATCCAGGAAGTGGTTACAAGAAGAAATTGATAGATTGCCTGAAAATTTTGGAGCAGGACAAGGCTATTGACCGTTTTCTGTACCACAGACTGTACCCAGGGGAGGCCACACCTAGTCTGTATGGTTTACCTAAAATCCACAAACAAGGTGTACCTTTAAGACCAATCGTTAGCATGATTAACTCTGTCACTTACAATGTTTCCAAATATCTGGCGTCTGTACTCATCCCTTTAGTTGGCAGCTCAGAACACCACATACAGAACACCATGGACTTTATGGTTGTGTGGGAGGTCATCATGGAGACTGATGAAACAATGGTCTCTTTTGATGTCACATCACTCTTTGCGTGCATTCCTGTTGATGATGCAGTAGAGGTGGTCAGTTTAAAATTAAAATCAGACACCACTCTGAGCAGCAGGACCACACTTTCTACAGAACAACTGTGTCAACTCTTGAAACTGTGCCTGCAGTCAACCTACTTCACATATGGGGAGCAATATTATAGGCAGAAACATGGGTGTGCTATGGGGTCTCCAGTTTCTCCTATTGTTGCCAACCTGTACATGGAGGAGGTAGAAAAGAGAGCCTTGACGTCCTTTTCAGGGACACCACCAAGTCATTGGTTCAGGTATGTTGACGACACCTGGGTTAAAATCAAATCTCAGGAAGTCCAACATTTTACTGACCACATCAACTCTGTGGATAAATACATCAAGTTCACAAAAGAAGATGTAAAAAATGGCAGGTTGGCTTTCTTGGACTGTGAAGTCTCAGTCTCTGATAGAGGACATTTGCAAACTGAGGTGTACCGCAAACCCACACACACAGACCAGTATTTGCAGTTTGACTCTCATCACCCTTTGGAGCACAAGTTAGGAGTCATCAGGACTCTGTACCAAAGAGCAGACAGCGTCCCCACTAACTCAGGAGCCAGGCAGAAGGAGAAATCCCACACAAGACAGGCTCTAGAGCAATGTGGATATCCTAACTGGGCCTTCCTGAAAGAAGAAACCCAAACAGGACTCCAGTCAGCCATCAGGTGAAAAGGAGGAACCCAGACCCAGACCAGTGGTCATTCCATATGTTGAGGGAGTATCAGAGAAACTGAGACGTTTATTTTCTAATTATAACGTCCCAGTGGCTTTTAAACCCCAAAATACATTACGGCAAAGACTAGTTCATCCCAAAGATCCAGTCCCCCGGCACAAACAGAGCAATGTTGTGTATGCTGTTCAGTTCAGGAGGGCTGTGATCAGTCTTACATCGGGGAAACAAAACAGCCACTGGCCAAAAGGATGGCCCAGCACAGAAGATCAACATCATCAGGCCAGGACTCTGCGGTCTACACTTATCTCCAGGTCAGAGGTCACTCTTTCAGGGATGAAGATGTTCACATCCTGGACAGAGAGGAACGATGGTTTGAGAGAGGAGTAAAGGAGGCCATCTTTGTGAAAAGAAATCGTCCATCATTAAACAGGGGTGGAGGCCTCCGGGTTCAACTGTCCCCCTCTTACAATGCTGTGATTGCTAGTATCACTCAGCCCTCTGTGAACAGTAAACAGCCATCAGTGTGCTAATGATCCATTGTTATGCTGATGGTCCTTCTTGAGCATGTGATCAGCTGGTTTTGGTTGTCAGCAGCAAAACTGGTTGATCCACCCTGAGAAGGTGCTATTTAAGAGACTGAGCTGAACACAGCTCCTCAGACTGAGGAAGTCTCTCGGATGAGAGACGAAACGTTTCTACATTTTTTTGTTGATTTGCTTTGTTTTGTTTTTTTGAATGTCCAGAGGACCAGATTTAACTTTTTTAGATTTTTCTACCTGGATTATTGAGCATGCATCAGGATATATTTTACTGCTGCTGTTGCTAGTTTAGGTGGTAGTAGCTGAGAATCATTCACAACACATACTCTGAGGGGTACACGTCTGTCATTTCTCAACACAAAAAAAGATATCAGTTTAAATTTAGACATGAAAACAGTCTGTTTAAACCTAAACCTAAACCTAAACCTTTTAAGTTATTTCTTGTTTATAAACCTTTCACTGAAACTGATTAAAATGTGCAAGCCGTTTCTTTAATTTTACTAATTGCAGTTTACAAAATAATGATGAAATTGTTTTAATGAAACATTTCCTATGCTAAGTAAACTGAGGTTTACATTTACAAACACTCAAAATCCAAAAATTGTTAGCAAAAAATAACCCAACTGGTGGTTAGATAGTTTACCTTGAGTACAGAATACACAGGACGAATAGAATGAGCCCAGCAATGCTCTGGGCGTCCCACCATTGCAGGTACGGGGATGACAGATTCGGTTCTTCTGTGCCAATGATCACCACGGCAGTCTGGTTTTCTAGTTCTACAGGGGGGAGTGTGAGATAGGCAATCTGCTGGAAGATACTGAGCAGACTAGGGTTGCACTCCTGATCTGAAGAATAAAAAAACAAACCTCATATCACATCTCAAACAACGCTGGGCTGTTACATACACTGAAGTAGACACAACACTCTTGAAAAAGTATTCAAGTCTGCTTGGGATATTAAAAAAATATTTTTGCTCAATTAAAGTAGTTTGAATTCATCTGTTTTTGCAACATTCCAAGATGGCAACAACCATCACCAAGTAGCACAATTTTAGAAGCTTAAACACACAGTCATATATATTTAGGCACCTCACTGAACACAGATTTGTACGTCGACATTGCAGCCATATTGAATGTGGCAAAAGTGAAGCGATAGATAGAAGATACCTCAATCATTCATAGTGACAATACGGAAAACACTGTGCAAGACTATTCTTTTACTCTGTGTATGTATGAAGTCCTTGATATTGGTATAGGTAAAGTGACATATGCAATAAGGCTAGTAAATATATATATATATATATATATATATATATATATATAT